GATGGAGCTACACGTACAAATGAGCCTAGACGATTGCTCCCTGTGATGAGCTGTAATTGTTTTCACAGAATGCTTGTATATGTTTGTGCTAGCAGGACTGGCTATCAGGGCTCCTTGGCGGGAGCTCTTTGCATGCCCATGGGATTCTCGTGCTAGCATGCAGCTCACATGCCCCACCTCAGCCTCTGAACTGGGAGAATAAATCCTCTAGCTGCAGAATAGCGTTTGGCCACTCTCATGAGACAGCTGGTAAAAGGGGAAGAGCGCTTGGTCTCGGGGTGGTGTTGGTTCAGATGGCGACTGAAGTGGAATTTCTGATAACGTTTCTTGCATGTACACAAGTGCTTCAACTCTTGGGGGAGCCCAAGCAGGAATGACAGGAAATGAAGGCATGATTTGGATTTGGTTTTGTGCAGGGATGTCTCATGCTTTCAGGACAATACAAATAAATCAAAGGGAGGAGAATAGTAGGGAGGAGGATGTGCCCCAAATTGTGTAACTGAAAACATCATTGCTAGCAGTAGAGGCTTTGTCGAGGCCATTCCACAGTGAGTTGGGCTGCTCTCATAGAGGGACAAAACACAGCTTTCAGCACTGCTTTGCTTGCCTCTTTAAATGCAACTAGACAGCTCCTGAGTGCGTGGTCAGCCTGCAAACTTGGTGTGACCGGGGAAGCTGTGACATGTTAGTGTGCTTGCTGCCTGTGTGCAGTGCCCAACGCTAGGGATTTTTTAGAGGAGGTGGTACCACAACTTCCCCAAAGAGGATTTGCCTTTGGCTGTGGTAGCCTAGAGGACTGGTTGCTTGGCCCTGCAGGTGTTGCAGGCTGTCAGCACTGGTATGGAACGTACATCAATTACATTGGGTTAAAAAAGCATAAAAACTTGAGAATAAAGAATAAAAACTCCCCGTTTGTGACAGTGGCAATAAAGCTGATTCTAGCAGCCTGGAGGGCTTACATGATGCGCTAGTGAGAACACATATGAATCTCCATATGAAAACTGTAAGCTCATTTAGAAAATTGGGCTGTCTCATTTGAGATTAGAGACTCTCTTTAATCTGCAAATACTTAATTAGCATGGAAATGACTAGTTAAGTGGGGCTCTCAATATATATATATATCCACATGCCAGCATGGGGGTGCTCCTTAGCAGGTGGTGTGTTTCCCTTTGGGATGCAGGACAAGTTCCTATCTCTGAGGCCAGCCCAGGCTGGATGCTCTAGAGGAGGAAACAGCTGGCCACGGCATCATGCAGTGATGAACCTTTCCTCCTCTACAGCTAGTCCTCTGACACGTGATGGGAGGACATGCTTGCTCCAAGGGTCATGAATGATACGATGTGTAAAATGTCCCAGATTCCCTAGTGTCCAGATTCACAGATTGCCTGAGTCGCTCTGGTCTCTGGTCAGCTCAGAGTTTAACATGGCCTTCCAAAACTGCCATGACATATATCCTCTTAGGGAGCTGCAGCAGCATCCCAGGAGAAGCTGTGGGTGCTCCCACACCCCATGGCAGCTTCTTGCAGTGGGTGGCTGGGTGTGCAGAAGGGAGACCTAGTGCCCTCTGCTGACACTGGCAGCGTTGCTGGGTTTTTCCTCATGCTTGAAGGACTGTTGCTGAGATACCTCAGTTAAGCGGCTGCCTCCTCTGGGTCTGGCTGGTACCTTAGACGTGTTGAGACAAGTGCACACGCTGGCTTCAGTCCTACTGAAACACACTGGGTGTAAGGTGGAGGTGAGAGTTGTGCGACTCTTGCCAGCTGGAACAAGAGAATGGGACATAGCAAAAACTTATCTGCTGTTGTTTTGGGACTGCCCCTAGCGTGGGACTGCTCTTCCTGTGCCTGCTCTGTCTCAGGGCTGGCCTGGCCCCAGCCCTGCTCGCTCTGCCAAGCAGCTGGGCTCTGCCAGTAACAGGACGCAAATGGAGCAGGTAATGCCCTTGCAGGGTTTGGCATCTTCAAGCTAGTGTATGTGGAGGCTGAGAAAGGAAGAAGTTGCAGTTGTTTTCCTCTGGCTCTTTGGTAGGGAACTGGGTGAGAGGAGGGTCTGCCTGCTCTGTTCCTGCCCGTGCCTTGCTGGCCATGGCCTGTGCTGAAAGCTTTGGGGGCACTGGTCCGTTGTGTACCTGTGACAGCAAGCGGCCTGTGGCTAGGGCTCTTGCTCTAGCAAGGAGCAGAGCGGCTCCACTGGCAGCTGCAGGGCAGCCCTTGCCATCAGGTGTTTTAACACAGTGCTCTCTGCAGAGTATTTGTCAGCAGTTGCCTTTGGGGCAGTAGGAGTCTCCTGAGTTGGAGGTGGCACAGTGCATCCCTGCCTTTGCCTGCCTGCTTAGCTGTAAAGAGCATAAGAGGCCAGAGGGACTTGCTGTGAGCCCTGGAGGTGGCAGATGAGGGCTGATGTCAGGGAAGAGGATTCCCTGAAAAGAGAGGTTTTCACCAGCTATCTGAAATGACCTGGGTGGAGTGAATGGTACGAGCAGCAGAGGAGAAAGTTCAGATGGCAGCAGTTTTTGGTGTTTGGGAAGTGATGGGCAGGGAGGATGCCAAGAGGGACAGAAGCAGATGGGAGCAGAGGCCAGGACTGTGGCACTGGATCAGCATGGCTGAAGCAGCAGGATCCAGCAGCCCTTTCTTGGGGAGAGGCTGCTGGGTTGTCCGTACAGCAGGCAGCTTGCTCGCTGCTACATAGAACTTTCTGGGATCCTTCTGTCTTTATTGTTCAGCTCCTGGCACCTATGCGTGGTAGAAGGTGGCCATAGAGAGGGTGGTGAGCATTCTGAGACCTAGGCTGTTAAATGTGTCTGATCTGTAATGTATGTTTTGTTACCAAAAAAACACTGACAACCTAGAGCTGGAAGGTAGGAGGAAGCTCTTGTGAGCCAGGGAGTGTGACTACCAGAACAGGGGATAGAGAGACTCTGAGCGTGGCCTAGCCTGATGCTGAGGAACTTAGAGCAATGTGTTTGTCTTGTCTTTTTCTTGCCTGAATTGGTGCTGAAGTGCAGTCTTGCAGACGATGTCCAAGCCTTTCTCTGTCCCTGGCATCTCTTCAGTCACAGCAAAACCACTTGAGCATTCAACTCTGCTGACCTGCCTCTAGCAGGAGCGGAATGGACAGAAGGTAACAGGGATCCTTGCAGCTTTTCTCTAGGCTGTTTCTTTGCCCTGCCCTAGGCTGGGCAAAAAGGCTGCAGCTGCCCTCGTGTGATGTGATGGGTGAGGTTGTTTCTCCCTGGCACCTGCAGGGGTGTAGTTGGAAGCTTCCAATATCCTGCTCTCCTGTACTGATGTTCTCCTGCCTTGGAGAAGTCTGTGCTGCTGGAGTCCATCACAGAATCACAGAATCGTTTAGGTTGGAAGGGACCTCCGGAGATCATCTAGTCCAACCTCCCTGCTCAAGCAGGGTCACCTAGAGCATATTGCCCAGGATCACATCCAGACGGGTTTTGAATATCTCCAGCGAAGGAGACTCCACTACGTCTCTGGGCAACCTGTTCCAATGCTCTGTCACCCTCACAGTGAAGAAGTTTTTTCTCAGGTTCAGATGGAACTTCCTGTGGTTCAGTTTGTGCCCATTGCCTCTTGTCCTGTTGCTGGGCACCACGGAGAAGAGGCTGGCCCCATCCTCTTGACACTCCCCCCTTCATAGGAGAGATGCTCCAGCCCTCTAATCATCTTGGTAGCCCTCCGCTGGACTGTCTGCAGTAGTGCCATGTCTCTCTTGTCCTGGGGAGCCCAGAACTGGACACAGTACTCGAGGTGAGGCCTCCCCAGGGCTGAGTAGAGGGGCAGGATCACCTCCCTCGACGAGCTGGCAACACTCTGCCTAATGCACCCCCAGGATACCACTGGCCTTCTTGGCCACAAGGGCACACTGCTGCCTCATGCTTAACTTGTTGTCCACCAGGACTGTCAGGTCCTCCTCTGCAGAGCTACTTTCCAACAGGTCAACCCCCAGCCTGTACTGGTGCCTGGGGTTATTCCTGCCTAGGTGCAGGACCTTGCACTTGCCTTTGTTGAACTTCATGAGGTTCCTCTCCGCCCACCTCTCCAGCCTGTCCAGGTCAGCATATGCATCCTGGCACTCTCCCCATGGCTGTGTTGGCAGGAGGCTGACGGAGCCACACAGGCGCTTTAAGGTGATAATGCTGGGGTGCCAGGGCTGAACCTGTGGGACTGAAGGTTGCATTTGCTTTGTATGAGCTCTGTTCTCAGGCTAGCCTAGAAGAATCCTCTGTGTCTGCCAAATGACAAGCGGGTCACTTAGTTAAGAGTCATGATGCCAGCCCTCTGTGAGTGGCAGGCGATGGGGGAGTCCACACTGCTCGCCAGGACTGTGGAGGGAAGGGAGATAAAGCTGAACAGTGGGGAGGTGATCACAGATACTTTAATGATGAAAAGAAAATGAAGAGCAGGAAGAGAGTGCTAGTGTTCTACAAGGCCTGGAGGTCCCCAGGATCTGTCTTCTGGGCTACTCCAGAAGAAAATTTGAGAGTGAAAGTCTGGGAAATGGAACGAGGGCTAAAGCATCTTGGCTCTTGCCTCGGGAGCCAAGAGGAACCTGATGGGCACGAAAACTGCAGGGAGAAGAAAGCTATGGGCCTGCCTAGCCAGCGATCTGGGAGAGCCTGAAAATGCATTCACCCACACGGGTTGGGGCTGGAGTCCTTAGCAGAGCTTGCTGGGCAGAGGCAGGAGAGAAGTGCCAATGTGAGCTGTAAGGCTGCAGCCTTGGGGAATGTAGGACTGAGCTGGGGCGCAGGAGCCCAGCCCTGCTTTCGGGCTCAGGGAGAAGAGTGTTGGTGAGCTCTTGAGTAGCTGAGTGCGTGCAGCTCACAGGAAGAGTTAAGGGTGCCTCATGGCCCTTCTCTTGCCTGAAACTGCCTTCTTGGGGACAAGGAGCAGCAAAAGGGGCTTGGTTCGAGAAGTCTGTGGTCCCCGTGCCACCATGACCATGGGGTGGATTGTGAGCAGCTGGTGGATGTTGGGGCTAGATTTCTCCATAGCAGATGGTACATCTGGACCTGCCTAGACCTGCTGGAGGATGCAAGTGACCTGTTGGACACCGACTGGACCTGGTGAGGTGAAGGCCAATGCTCGTTCATATGCAGCTGGCAAGGAGGGGTAAGCTGAGCACCTTGGAGTCTCCTGCACATATTCCATGGTTGCAGCTTAGAGGTCTCCATGAAAGCTGAACAAAGCCCAAATTTCTAGCACTTTTGGCTCTGAGCAAACCTTCAGGATGGAGTTGCGCTCTGCCGGAGCCCAACAGGATTGTTCAGAGCTGCAGCAGCTGTTTGTTCTGAAACTTCTGTCTGGTCCTGGAGGGAGAGCAACACCGCTGAAGCTGCAAGCGTTTTCCCTGCCAGTCTCAGCTCCTTGTCCTCTGGGCCCTTCTGGGGCATGGGTAGAGGAGAATGGAAGGGGCTGGCAGGCTTATTCATAAGTCATGGAAAAGTTTTGTGCCGTCCTGTCTGCAGGTGCTATCACAATCTTCCTCACACAGCTGGTGATACTAGGTGTCTGGACTTGCTGCCTCCAGGCTTGGCTGATGTGTGGGACCTACAGGACTGGCCTGTGGTGGGCAGTGAGGATCACAGAAGCCTTTGCTTCTTCTCCTTTGCTTGGTGGGAACAAGCCAAGGAGGCCAGGGTGGATCAGCATCAGCATTCAGAATCTGATCCCTGTTGTGCTGGCCTGAGCATTGCCCATCTGAAGAGCCTGTTGGGCTGTCGCACTTTGGGAGGAGAGCCCCAAGAGAAGCTGTGGGTCAGAGAGGGGGGCAGTGGCTCCGGGTTTTGGTAATGTTTTGGGTCTAACAGAGAGCCCGTGCCAGGGAGAGAAGCCATGATGAAGGGGCAGGGAGGAGGCCATTGGGCATACAGCAGCTTAGCACCACTTGCCTGCAGACTGAGTGCAGAACAAGGTGCACCCTCATGCCGAGCTTGTCTGACAGCTGCTGTAGCAAGAGAGGCTCTTGCGTTGCTGGCTATTTGCTTGGAATAGAGTTTGCATGGTATGGAAGGGAAACTAGAGTCAGATGTTTGTGGGATTTGTGTCTAAAACACTTGTCAAATACTTCTGGGTTCTTTGGCTCCCACTGCTGGCACTATAGGAGCAGACAACTGTGGAAGGCAGCCCTTCCACCCCTGACTTAAGCATCTGCTGCCTAGGGCAGGGATCTCTGGGCAAGACCTGGCAGCTCTGTCGGGTATATCATGGCTGAGGCTGCTTTGGGAGGGCACACAGCTGTAACATCCCCGTGTTCCCTTGAGTGTCACAGCTGGTGAGTGTGTTTGTCAAGGGGAGCTACAGTGATCCCCGTTCAGCCAGGGATCAGTACCGTTTCCTTTGCTGACCCCACCTGTGGCAGGGCTGCCCCTGGGCTTTCCTGATAAAGCACCAGTAGAAGGGAAGCAGTGAGCCTGTAGTTGTTGTGTGTTTGGCAGTTTCCAGCCTACACCTGATCACCATAGGGATTGGATTTGGGCACATGTGTGTCTGCTTGGCAGCTTGTGCCATCCTGGTGGCATGTGTCACCACCACGGTGGGCTGCTCTGGATCTTGTGTCTCCGCCTTCGGGCATGGTTGCTCAGCTGGTGCCTGCAGGGAACATGTGGCCATTGAGGAGAGCCTACCTTGGTGCTTCTGGCCAAGCCTGAACACAGCCACCTTGCGCAGGGTGCAGAGCCCGTGGTGTAGAGAGCATGGCAGGGGCAGTCTTCGCCCCAGCGAGCTTTCTGGCTGCTGCAGAGCCACGGATCCATGGGGTCCTTGCCTGGATGGGTTGCTGAGGGGCCTCTGTGCCTGCTGATGGTACTCTTCCTGTCTAGTGTGTCTTCTTGAGCCGCTCAGCGGTGGACTCACAGCTGCAGCCCCTTGGACTGACAGGGCTGCTGGTAGGGCGGATGGATGGGAATCACCCTTGCCTGCAGCTGCCTCTTCTCCTATGGTCTGTGTGGTGGGTACTGCTCCACGTAGCATCCTCATGCGGTGTGGTGGCAGACAGGCCTGCTCTGCTGGCGGTTCAGGCACCGTGGCAGCCAGCATGCGGCCCCTGCCCCAGCGCTGCTCTGAGGGGTGCTGCAGCTTGCTGGCGAGGGGGTGCCTACCAGGCTGACTCTTTTCTCTTTCCCCAGCTCTGCTTTCCCCTTTCCTCCCAGCAGCTCTTCATAGCTGGGGTAACAGTCCTCTGCAGTCAGCCACCACACCGTGTCGTAGAGAATAGGCAGCAGCAGGCTCTCGCTGTGAAGATGTGGAACTCCCAGCAATGCTTCTCCAGAATAAATTTCTTGCGCTCCTTACCCAGGACTAGTGAGCAGAGCTTGCTGCAGAGCTGTCCCCAGTGATGCATGTCTCTGCAAGGGAGAGGAACACCATAATAAGGTGTGTTTCCTGCCCCCTTCCCAACCATAGCAGCACGTGGAAGGGGCATTTCTTGCCTTCCTTCTGCAGGAGCAGGCTTTCCCTCTGGTGCTTGCCATGCTCGTACATCCCTTCCCCGTATCTTATCTTTGTTACTGCTGTTTGGCAGAGGCTGGTTTGTTTGTTTGCTTCCTTTTCTGCTGCAGGGCTGGCAGCATCTGGCACGTCTCTCAGTGGTGTCCTTTGTGGTTTGTGGGCTCTGGAGGTTGTCTCTGCTAGCCTTGTGTGTGTCGCTTCACGCTGAGACTGCAAGTGTGAGATTTGTCTTCTCTGGCTGGGGTCAGGTAGCACCATGCTGCATGGGGACATATAGTCAAGGCCTTTTTGTGGCTCAGCAGAGCGGATGTCCGCTCGGTGACCAACTGTGGGCTTTCATTTGACTCCTGCAGCTTTATTGCTCTGAGGGGCCCAAAGTTGGCTCAGCCTCTTGGAGGGATGATGTGGAAGGTCTGAATACCTCAGGTTCACCAGTCTCTTTACTGTGAATTTTTTTTTGTGTTGTGTCTTGCAGAAATAACATTCATCCCAGATTTGATGATAATGAAAATACAGAAAAAAGAAAAGCAGGTTTGTGACCCTCTCTCCTTCTCCTAACTCAATTGGCAAGGCTTTGGGACCTTGCACTACGTGTGAATGGTGGCAGTTGATGTATGGGGGGAAAGGGGGTTTTTGCATTTCCAGCCAGAACCTCAGCTTTGGAGGTGGAAGTGTGACCCTGGCTGCAGCTTAAAGTAGATAAATATCAGCCTGGGCAATTAAACAAGGTGGGTTTCACGTTTGGTAATGGTAATTCACTTGATTTGCTTTTGTTTCCTTATAAGAGCATCCCTTCTTTTCCACCAGCATTGGTTCTTGTTTGAATCTCATCACATGGGCATTAAAATATTGCTTTTAAACAGTTACATGTTTGCTATGATTACTACTAATAACATAATACCCCAAGACTAACAGCAGTAGGGAGGCTGGGGAGGAGCACTTCTGCAGGGCTGCAAGAGCTTGACCAAAGGATTTTCCCTTGCTGAAAAGTAATCCCATCCCACCAAGCTGCCATCTCTGAAATGCTGCATCTGGTCATACATACCCGCTTTTCCCAGAGGAGATTCATGAGCTAGCTAGTGTTCTTTATATTAAGTGCGTGCACAGGAAAAACCTGACCATCGGCCCTCTGATAAAGGGAAAGGACCTGTTGCATGTATGGAGACTCACTCTGCCTGCAGGGGTGAAATGTGGCTGGAGGTATAAAACAAACCAGTCCACCCTGAGCTGATTTGTGTCTGTGCCACTTTTAATGGGAAACCATTAAACAGATCACTTAGTTAAGGGATAAATCTGTTGGAGAGCATGAGCTGGTGCCTCTTCTAGCCTGCTCTGAAGCAGCGTCTTCACACTGCTCAGGGCGGCGCAGATCCCTTTGTGATAGCAGGTTAACAAGGAGGAAGAAGGGAGGGAAGGATTTGGAAAACATGTGTGGTGTTGTTAGAGGCTTGCAGCAAGCAAAATGCTGTGAAGGTAGGCAAGTGTGTGTGCAGTGAACCAATGTTGTAAGAAATTGTGAGTTTAACGGTGTCTTAAAGACACTGTAAGCAGGCAGAGCCAGTCTTAAGCTGAGGAGAAAGGGAGCACGGCAGATCTTGCTTACCAGCACTGCTGGATCACTCCTGCCTGGGCAGGGGGAGAAGGCCTGAAGAAGAGTGGGGTGCTTTTAGGCAAAGGTGAGTGATATCTTTCCTCTGGTAATGAAGCCCAGGTAAGAAATTTCCACCAGTCTGTTCGACTAATATAGCTATTTTTTGACTGCTCTGTAAATGGCATTACTGAAATGATGTGGGTTTTAAGCACAGCAAAAATATCCTCCCCCAACATTTGGAGATTTTAGCTGGCTCAGTTGCCAAAGTGTTTTGTATAACTATCCCTGTAGATGAAGGCTTGGGAGGAAACAAACTCATGGCAATGTGGGGAGGTAGGGGTAAGGATCGAATTTGTCATATCCTGAGCTCTCTGAACCAAGAGCAGTGTAGGAGAATCCTTAGTGAGGTTTGATCCTATTGTCTTTGTGGCTCTGGTGCAGTCTCAGGTCCAGCTCTTTACCTTTCTGGTGTGAAGCAGGCTTCCTTGTTCTTAAATTTTGTCTGAAAGTGAGGCGATGGAGGGCTGCAGCATGTTTTCTGCCCCAGGTGTACCTCTCAGCTTTGGGTTCAGTGGGAAGGCAGCCGGTCAGCCCTGCTCGTCCCTGTGAGACATGCTGGGTGGCAGGGCTTTATGCACCGCTCCGGGGCGTGAGAGCCAAGAAGGACCACAGAGCCCACTGGTGTGAGAAAGCCTGGCTGGCGTCCAGCAGGGGAGACGCTGGGCTGATTCTTCCTTGTGTGTCTCTAGAAGTGCTTCTAGGACGGACACCCTGCTGCCTGGCCCTTCCTTCCCTGGAGCGGCTCTTCTGTGGGTACTGTGTGCTCCCTGGCCTGCCTGAGTCCTGCCTGAGGAGAAGACAGTGCCAGCAGGCTGTAAAGTGTGACAGTGGGCTGTACATGCTTGGGCTGGGAAAAGTTCATGTCATGGAGTGGGCTGCAGCCTTTCTGGGGTGCCCAGCCCTGTGAGAACTGTGTTGGGGCCTCTCCTGGAAGGTCTGGGCAGTAATTAGAAATGTCACTGTGGATTCAGTGGTTGGAAGAAGACCTGGCCAAGCAGGGCTCCCAGGGAAGTTTTGAAGTGTTGAAGGGGATGACCGTTTGGGACTTCCCTGAGGTCAGTGGCTCCCTGCCACACTCTCTCCAGAGCCTGATGGGCAGTGTTGGAGGCAGCTAGCAAAACCAGCCAGAGGGGCCCTTCCACATCCCCCTGGGACTAGACACCTGAACTCACGAGTTGCCCACACTGTGTATGCAGACCCTGCTTGTGGCCCCCAGGGAGGGCTGTTGCCTACAAGAGCCCACTGAGCAGCATCTCTGGAGAAGGTGTCGTGCTTGTGTGGTTCCCAGGACTCTTGAGGGCTGCATGTTTCTGTACGTGTCTGTCTGCTGGCCATTCACCCCCAAAACCTCCATCTTGGTCTTTGGCCTGTAAGTGCACAATCAGGCCTGTGTGTGTGCAAGGAGCTACGAAAGCTTGGCAAAGTGCTGGTGCCCTTCCTGTTGGGAAGAGATGCCAGGAGAGCTGTCACAAGTTCTGGACTTGCTTTCTCCTCTCCCAAGTCCCTTCCGAGGCTGCCCTGAGCAAATGCCTTTTCCTGCTACGTTGCAGTCATTGCCAGTGGATTGCAAAGTCTGGCTTGGAGAGCAGGGGTCTTGCAGTGGGCTCTCCTGGGAAGAGCTCTTCTCTGTGCCCCATCAGTACCCCTTGCAGCAATGCCATCCTTCTTGCATGGATTGGGACTGCTTGCTGTTCAGGGCACTGCCAACTGGCCCAACAGCTGAGGGGCTGTTGTTAACATGGTCAGGGTCTATGTTTGCATGACTCTTTTTTTCCTTAGTAATGCATAAAAATCTGGTGGATTTGTCACCAAGCTGTGACTAACTCATGAAACCTGTCACTTCCCTCGTGACTTACGAGGCTTCGTGCCAGGGCGCCTTGTCTGCTGGCAGAGGTGGGATGGGGGAGAACTTGCCTGACTCCCCCAGGGAGCAATGACAAGCTGTGGATTTTCTTTGAGAGGTTCTGTGGCTTCCACAGCAGGTTTGTTTCTTGGGCTCCCTTTCCCGGCAAAGAGTGCAAAAGGCTCTACCCTGCTCCTCCTTGGGCACTAAGAGGTCTCATATTCTTATTTCTGCCAAGCTGACTTGTTGAATAACCTGAGAAATATTGAACTAAAATAAATCTAGTTGTTGTCCCACAGTGCCTGTAAATCTCCTCATTCTACAGATATGGAAGTTGTCCCCCCCCCCGCCCCCCACACACATAGACTGTAAGAGCAGAGCAGCGTTTCTGGCCTGCTGGAGTGGGAGGGGATTGGAAGCAGTGTGATTCATTAGCTCCTGCCTTCTCCCGGAGGGCTCTTCTGCTTTTCAAGCATGGGCTTGGAAGAGATGGGAATGGCACGATCCTCTGCGCTGTGCGGCTGGTGGTGTGAGGAGGCAGGGTGCAGCGGAGGACAGGCTGGGGACTGCAGGCACTGGGCCACTGCTGTGCACCTCTCCGACTGGGAGCCTGCGGGGCAGTGTGAACCTCTCCCCTGGGAGCCTTGTGTCCTGCTGCACATCTCAGGGAGGCTCTATTTCCCTTTGCTCCAAGCACTTGCTCTATAAAAAGGAAGGCTTTTCCTGGATTTTATGGGTCTATTTTAATGAAACATGAGCTTTGATGTCTCGTTTGCTACAAGCCCTGGCAAGGAGTGTTACTAGAGCTCACCAAGGGCTGGCGCAGACTCGTTCTGAACAGCAGTGGAAACTATTGCAAGGGGAACTGTGACTCCCTTGCACAAGGGCACTTGGGGCTGTATCCCTTGGGCTTCTGGCATATCTAGGGCTCTTTTCCATCCTGCTGAGGGTGTCAGGTGTGATGATGCCTGTGTTGGGTGTGTGAAGGAGTTTTGCTCTGCCTAGCACCATGTGGGCACCCAAGCCTGGTAAGGAGCAGCAGATCAGGTGGTAAGCCTCAAAGGGCAGGTGGAGGCCGTAGGAGCAGAGCAGTGAGCTGCAGGGCGATGCACTGCTCCTGCACCCTGAGCCAGGTCTACTTACCAGCTCATCGAGAGCCACAGTCCCAGGGGCTCCTCACCCTGCACACGCTTGTTCTCTGCAGGGTCTCCTGGGCAGAGTGCAATTGGTTCCAAGGCCATGGCTTAAGGAAATGGTGCTCCCCTCTCTCCCTTGGGCCGTTGCAGGGCAGGGTGGGTTTCCTGTAGGCACGAGTGGCATTCCCTCTCCGCTCCAGTTTGCAAGGCAGAGCTGTGTGCATGGGAGTATGCACACACACACACACACACACACACACACGTGCCTGTGCAGGCTTCTGCCCCAGGCCCTCCTATTTCCATGTTCTTTCCCTGCCTGCCTTCCCTCATTGCCAGAGAGGACTAACCTGGGAGGGAGCAGCCCTGCCAGCACAGGGGCGCAGCATTCCCTCTGCCCCTCCTGCTGTGCCCGGGGCCAGGGCAGTGGGTGCGTGTGCACCCATGGCCCGCACTGCTGGGGCTGGGTCGCTCACAGGATGACGTTTCCCCATGGTAGTTGTTGTGAGGGCTGCATCTCAGTGGAGTGTCTTGGGAACGGAGCCAGGCCCCACCTCCATCACACACATCCCATGGTGACTGCAGTGCCTGCACAGAGACATAACAGAGGGTGGCACTTGTGTATTTTTAGCTTCTGCTGCATTGTATTAAGAGCTGGAAACAAGGGGTTTGGACACCCTGCAACTAGAATACAACAGCCTATGCTGTACACGCCACCAGTGGAGATTGCAGCTGCTAGAGACGGTGGATGAACAGCCTGTTAAAATGCTGGCTATGGAAAAAGCCACGTTTTCCACTCCTATCATGGTGTTCTGCAACTAGTCGTATTGATGAACTGGGCTGGTGGCTCCCAGCACAGCCACCTCGGGCAGGCAGAGCTGTGTGATTGTGCCCATCTCAAGAT